GTGAGAGGGGAAGGCAGAGAGAGTTAGGAGCTGGTTGAATGTTCATGGGGAATCAGGGGCAGAGGGGAGGAGGGTGCTGTCGCAGAATGGGGTGAGCGGTTGGGGTCTCATAACAATGTATGTTAAAAAAAAAATTCTGTATGGGAGACTAACTTGAAATGTAAACTTCATTCAATTACATCAATAAAAAAAACCTCTATGATATACAGTATTAATTTCATAAATTGACAGTTTGCATGTGCTTATATGAGATTTTCATTCCAGAAAATGAAAATGGGAAAACTACCCCCAAATTATATGTTTTAGAGGGAGATCATGAAATAATACAAAATACATGGGCTTCTTTGGATCTCAGCTGCACTACTTGATATGGGCAAATTATGTAACTTTTCTAAGACTATTTCCTTATTTGTAAATTGGCAATAACATTATCTATAACATCTATAACATGGGATTGTTGTGAGGACTAAGTAAGAATAGGTCTGAAAGCATCTAGCAGAGTTCCTGGCATATAAAAGGTGAATAAGGTTACTTTTCTTCCTTCTGGAATTTCTTCTTTAATAATAAGGCGTGTTACATCTTAAATTTAAAAAACAAGAACTTGGTTTTAAGGTTCACTTTCTATAAGCATTTTTAAAAAGCCACACTGCCACCAATTAGTATGGCCATCTACCCAACTAGCTAAATTTAATGAAAGGCAGACCCGAATAGTTTTTATCATTATCTGTCATTTATCTGCATCTTATCCAAATTTAGGGGACCAAGTTATGAAGGCATTTGGCTTTAATGTATTCAGTAATATGAATTATATTTGGGATGAAAAAAAAACCTTAAAAGAGAACAGGCTCAACAACACTTAAGTCTGGACTCTAAAATAGATATTTACATACCTATATGATTCTACAATGATCCTGTGACCAGCAGGACAAATGTTTGATAATTTGCTAATACAAAAGTAAAATTCATTAAATATTTGAAACACATCAGATTAGGCATATATCAGACAAAATAACTAACTTCCATTTTTAAGACTCCTCCTATGACAAGAAATAAATAAAATGTCTTCTAAAGTTTTACTTTAAAATTTTTGGCTAATGTGTTGGTTAAGGTTGTGTGTCAACTTGGCTGAGCCATGATTCTCAGTGGTTTGGCAGTTGTGTAATATAGTTTGACAGTTATGTAATGATATAATTTGGCAGTTATATAATGATATAGTAATCTTCCATTCTGTGATCTGATGTAGTCATCCTCCATTTTGCGATCTAATGTGAGCAGCCAATCAGTTGAAAAGAGAGTTTCCTTGGGGTTGTGGCCTGCATCCAATATATACAGATATTCTGGAAAAGCTCGCTTGCTCTGGATCCTACATCCGATTCACCATCATTTGACTTCCAGTTCTTGAGACGTGAGCCTGTCGTCTGACCTGCTGATTCTGGGATTTGCCAGCTTTTGCAGCCAGCTGCCTGCCGTCTGACGTGTCGATTTTGAGATTTGTCAGCTTTTGCAGCCCATGAGCCAGCGGCTTGTTGTCTGACCTGCTGATCTGGGGTTCATCAGCCCCTATAACCATGTGAGTCAGGAGAAGCCTCTAGCCTGACGCATGACCACGAACTTGGGACTTGCCCGCCTCCACATTCGTGTGAGTCATTTCCTTGGATAAATCTACGTATATATACACACGCTTCACTAGTTTTGCTTCTCTAGAGAACCCAGCCCTAAGACAGCTAATAGTTGCTAGAATTTTCAGAGATTAGAGGGAAGTTGGAAGACCAGAAAAAAAGGCAATAATGACAACAAAACTAAGCACGTAGAATCTATGCCTACCATAGTTCCCCAAGGTTTCCCAACCAAAAAAGAAAAGGCTATTATATGCCCCTATATATCATAGTTTAATTGTACACATAACCCCTTACATGCCAAGTTGTGAGGTTAAAGCTCAAGTAGGCGCTACACAAACCTAGGTGTTATGGAAAGACTCCATCTGTTGAAGGAATTAAGAGTAAAGAGAGGAGGGAAATCATCTTTGAGACGAAGGCCTTTGACTATTCAAGGTCAGTATTTTCTAATTGAAGGGGATTATATGGATCTTGGAGCCCCGGTTGCACAGTGGTTAAAACACTTGGCTGCGAACCAAAAGGTTGGCATTTTGAACCCACCAGCTGCTCCATAGAAGAAAGATGAGCCAGTCTGCTTCTGTAAACATCACAGGCTTGGAAACCCTACGGGACAGTTTTACTCTGTCCTATAGGGTCGCTATGAGTCAGAATCGACTTGATGGCAATGGTACATGGCTCTCAACGGAAAGGCTCTTTGTCTTATAATCCTTTAAGGAGTACAACTATTGACAATCTACCTATATCTTAGTCAAGAGGCCAAACCTATTTTTGGAGGAATAATGTGCCTTTCTTGTTGATCAAGTTAATTAAGTAGTCAAAATTTTATTTATTTAGGAAATCAGTAAGTAGCTACCAGTTCTTCATTATAAAGAATAACTCTCAAATCATTTAAAAATGTTAATTTGGCTTATTAGTACCTAAAATATTTTTATTTAAAAAAATTTAAATTGCTCTGTCACGTTAATGACAAGGTACAAATTTGCCGAAATTTCGATCAATGAAATCCTGCAATCTATTCAACTCTATAACTGAAGACTAATAAAAAAATAAAATATTACTTTAAGTGACATATCTGCTCTTGGAAATATTAATAAAGATTTTGAAATATTCTATTTGTAAAGATAAAATGTATTGTTTGCTAATTCTCCGTGTAAAAAAAGAAGCCAGGTGAAGCAAATAATTTTTGCTAATAATGTCTAATTTACTGGGACAGCTATCCAGTGGAATACACTGAAATTCCAATACAGGGTAGTCAAATTTATGAGAGGTAACACTTTAAAATAATTTATAATATTAAATGCTGAAAGGGATACTAATTCTCTGAAAAGTTGATTAATATTGGTCAGCAAGGTTTAATTCCTGCTATGGCAATAACTCTACTTGTCAAAGGAAGTAGATGGCTTACAAATGGTATCTTTTGTTTGAGTAATTACACTTCAGATACCCCAACTACATGCCCTTCACATTATTTGTCACAAGATGAAAGTACATGATCAAGTGGTTTCAAAAGTACCAAATTATGAAATAATTTATTTCTTCAAGGAAGGTCAATGTAGTCTCCTTTTCATATTGGTACTCTCTTAAAAGAAGTTCACTGTAGTGATTTTTTATTGTTCTGGTTTATAATATAACATTTACGAAAACACTTTGTGTTTATGTATTTTTACTTATGAAAGAGAACTGTGTAGCATATGCTTTTATAAGTTCTACATTATTATCCAGATTCAGTCATAAATTTGATCAATAATTTCATCCCTCTAAGCTTTCTATTTTTGTTTCTCCAGTACCAATGAATTGATGCAGGAAAGAAAAAGAGTTCTTTCTAGACTTCCTTAGCTGAATAGTCCTGGCATTGAGGGCAGAAGGAGTAGCTAGCTGTATATTGTTCTTTAAGTGCCATTCTATAGCCATATCAATATTTATAGCATTCATTGCTCATAGAAAGATTAACTCCAACTGTTCTCTCTCTTTTATTCATGTCTATTTCAATGGTTTATGGTAGCTGGTCCCTAAAAACACACACACATACACTATGGCCTTGTCTTCTTCCCTTTGGCCTACTCTTCAAGGCTAGCTCTTTCACTTTGATTGAAACCCCTCCAATATCTTTACGGACTTCATACTATTAATTATTCTCTTCATCTCTTTAATCTTCAACCTCCCTCTCTCATTTTATTGGTTCTTTCCCGTCAACCAAAAATCATCTCAATTCTTTTACATCGGAAAAATCCTTGACTCTTTGTCCTCCCTAGCTGCTATCCTTTCTGGTGAGGCACAGTGCTTTAAACAGTCATTTCTACTTTCTCACTTATTATTTTTCTCAACCCATTATACCCTGGCTTCTGCTCTCACTCCTCTAATGAGACAGCACTGACATAGGTTACCAATGAGTTCTATTGTTTCCAAATCCAACAAATACTTCACTCCTCATCATGCTAGAACCCTATTGGTTTAACACTTTTATCACTCCCTTCTTATTGAAATGTTCACTTTTCTTGATTTCTGTTATTACTATATATGTAGAAAAAGGTTAACAGAGCAGGGCTGACTGCTGTTCTTTGAAAGGCCTACTTACAAGGTTGGCTCTTGGTTGGCGTCTGGGAACTTTGATCTTGGGAGGCTTCCCACCAACCTAACTGTCAAGATTAGCTCACTGAACCTAAACTCTGTGCAAACAATGTGGTTTATGCTGAATACCTGCTTTTCTTTTGGGAGTCGAATTCTGGCACATGCTATGCAGAGGAGGCCTATGTGAGCAGCCCCCCACAAAAACCCTGGCTCTGACTGTCTAATAAGCTTCCCTGGTAGGCAACATTACACATGTATTGTTACAACCTGTTGCTGGGGAAATTAATCTCAGCCTGTGTGATGCCACTGGGAGATGACTCTTTGAAGCTTGCACCTGGTTTCTTTCGGACTTCGCCCCATGCACCTTTTTGCTTTGCTGATTTTGCTTTGGATTCTTGCACTATAATAAATCATAGCCATAAGTACGACTATGTGTTGAGTGAATCATCGAACCTAGAGGTGGTCTTGGGGACCCCAAACCCACTACAGAAGTTTCCTACCTCTCTGACTGTTCCTTCTTGAACAAGAATCTGTGTGGGTTCCTCTTAAATGTTGATGTTTCCTGGGGTTCCAACCTTGGTCCACTATTCACTAGACCAATCACCTTGTGTAATCTCTTCCACTCTCATAATTTTAAACTATTGTCATGGATTAAATTATGTCCCCCCAAAAATGTGTGTATCAATTTGGCTGGGCCATGATTTCCTGTATTGTGTGGCTATCCTCCATTTTGTTATTGTAATTTTATGTTAAAGAGGATTAGGGTGGGATTGTATAACACCCTTACTAAGGTCACATCCCTGATCCAATGTAAAGGGAGTTTCCCTAGGGTGTGGCCTGCACCACCTTTTATCTTACAAGAGATAAATGGAAAAGGAAGCAAGCAGAGAACTGGGGACCTCATACCACCAACAAAGCAGTGCCAGGAGCAGAGCACGTCCTTTGGACCCAAGGTTCCTGTACAGAGAAGCTCCTAGTCCAGGGCAAGACTGATGACAACGAGCACCTTCCTCCAGAGCCGACAGAGAGAAAGCCTTCCTCTGGAGCTGACGCCCTGAATTTGGACTTGTAGCCTACTAGACTGTGAGAAAATAAATTTCTCTTTGTTAAAGTCATTTACTTGTGGTATTTCTGTTAGAGCAGCACTAGATGACTAAGACAACTATCATCTATGTGCTAATAACTTCCAGATTTATATCTTTAAAACTGAACTCTTCTTTGTGTTTCAGATTCTTAAATTCAACTGACTGCTGGACTTTTGCATGTTGTTGTTACTGTTAGGCACCACTGAGTTGGTTCCAACTCATAGCAACCCCACGTATAACAGAGTGAAAAGCTGCCCGATCCTGGGCCATCCTCGCAATTGTTATGATTTGAGTGCGTTGTTGCAGCCACTGTGTCAATCCATTTCGTCGAGGGTCTTCTTCTTTTTCGCTGAATCTCTACTTTACCAAGCATGATGTCCTTTTCTAGGGACTGGTCCCTCCTGATAACATGTCCAAAGTATGTGAGATGAAGTCTCACCATCCTTGCTTCTAAGGAGCATTCTGGCTGTACTTCTTCCAAGACAGATTTGCTCATTCTTCTGGCATTCCATGGTATATTCACTATTCTTCACCAACACTATAATTCAAAGGCATCAATTCTTCTTTGGTCTTCCTTATTCATTGTCCAGCCTTTGCATGCATATGAGGCAACTGAAAATATCATAGCTTGGGTCAGGTGCACCTTACTCCTCAAAGTGACATCTTTGTTTTTCAACACTTTAAAGAGGTCTTTTGCAGCAGATTTGCCCAATGCAATAAGTTGTTTGTTTCCTGACTGCTGTTCCCATGGGCGTTGATTGTGGATCCAAGTAAAATGAAATCCTTGACAACTTCAATATTGTCTGTTTATCATGATGCTGCTTATTGATCCAGTTGTGAGGATGTTTGTTTTCTTTACATTGGGGTACAATCCATACTGAAGGTTATAGTCTTTGATCTTCATCAGTAAGTGCTTCAAGTCCTCTTCAGAACTTTTGCATAGGCACTTCAAACTCATCGTGTCCCAAACGAACCTATCATCATTTCCTGTCTTCAAATATTTGTTCCCTATCTCCCATCACCTATTTACTCCACTTCTCCTAAGTTCCCTATCTTAGTTAATGGCAACAAGAGTATGCAGTCTCCCAAGCCAGATAGTTGGGAATAAACCCTACCTTTCATCAACCCACACAGTCCATCTTCATGTCTTGCCCACTCTTCCTCTTAAATACTTAGTGAATTGTTTCCTCCTTCTCCATCTATCTACCATTGCTCTAGTTTCAGACCCCTCACATCTCACCTGAACTAGTGCAATACCTCCTGACTGATCTCCCCACCTCTAATATTGCCCTATCCAAATCTACTTCTACCTTTCACAGAATTGCCAGAGTAAGTCACCTGAAAATCAAGTCTGACCATGTCATTCCTCTGCATATATAACCCTTCAACGGCTTCCTATCACCTAAAAAGCACAAAATCCTAGGCCATCATTGTTGTGTGTGAAGCTCTCTAGTAATTCTGAACCATTTGTAATTCCTTTAAAAACACATTATGTTTTCACGTTTCTGTGCCTTTGTTTATGCTGTTCCCTCTGCCTGGACTGCTCTTCCTCAGAGTCTTCCCCAGGTTAACATTCAGCCCAGCTTGTAGCCTCAGCTTATGGATCCAGGAAGCCTTTGTGGGAGTTTGTTCCTCAGAAAGGCTAAATGTCCTTCTTCTGTACCTGGTTGGCACATTATACATATCACTGTCAAAGCAGTTATACATTAACACATTATATTTTCTTTTTGTAATTCTTCTTCAGTGAGACTGTATACTGAGAGGGGACTATCAGTGCCTTATTAATTTTTGATCATAAGAGACTAGGACTTTTGATCAAGAGTCACCAAGGCTCAGGTCTTCCTGTGAGGGTGCTGGGAGCCTGGCTGCGCATCTGGACCCACTGAGGGGGAGGCTTCAAGCCCAGTTTGGCTCACTGTGGCATGTCATTAAAATCTCATGCATTTCTTCCAAACACCCTCTCTGATGCCTCTTTCTTTCCTCCCTTCCCAGCCCACAGCAATTTTAAGCTGCAGGGCCTCAGGCTGTATAGCAGCTAGGAACCCAGACTAGGCACCTGCTGGCGTGGTACTTCCTGCATCTCCGCCCGGAGGCTGTGGCCACGGAGGAGGCCAGCCCCTAATGGCAGCTGGATGTGGTGTCCCTGCTGACAGGAGGAAGCAGAGGGCGTGGGGCAGCATGGCCCAGCTTCCCGAGGCGGCCCAGAGACCCTCCTCGAGGGAGGGGACGCTCTGCAGCCTTTGCTGCCATGCCCACTGCCTCATTAATGCGCAAAATAGTCAGATAGTAGATTTTTTACTATTGTCATAAATTTGAAATGTTGGATAACGAGAGCATGGATAAGTGAGGAGTAGGTGTATGAAGAAAGAAAAGCCTAATTTCTTTTATTCAATGTACGTGCCTTCTATGTGTAGGCATTCTATCCAATATTTAACCATCACAAAAACATCATGAGTACTATAATAGTCATTTTTCAGATAAAGGAACGAAGGCAAGTATCAAAAATGGAATTCAAACTCAAGTCGATCTGCCTCCGAACTGAGTGTTATTTTTCGATTATGTTATGCAGTCTTTCAGCTAAGTATTAAAATCAACCTAAATTTAATTACCTCGTCTTCACAGACATCAGCCTTCTTTCCTTTTTTATCTTCTTTATCTTCTTCATCCTCATCATCTTCATCAGCTTGTTCATCACTATCATCGTCATCATCGTCATCATAATCACTGTCTCCTCCCTTTCTTCTTCGCTTCCGTCCTGGGGTGGGTGTGCCCAAGGGATGCTGTTCTTCCCCAAGATCAGTGCCACCTGAAGTGTCTCTTTTCCCTGTTTTCTTAGCATGAATGATCCTGAGCCTATAAAGATGATAAAAATCATAATCATGGAAGAGAAGAAAAGGCTTCTCTCTATACTTTTTAAAGAGCATAACATGAGTTTTAAGCAAAAATACCTTATGGTGTTTCTCCTACATCAAGCAATAAATCAGTAACAATACAAATTAGAATTAGGAAAATTTAAGAAATGTGTTTTACATAAATTATAGAATATATTAACTTTCAAGAGTTATTTTACATATCTCTTTGGAATTAAACCATATGAAAAATTAAAACTTAGAAAGCTGAAAAGATTAACTCTAATAATGGCCAAGTGATAATTACTAATCCCATACTATCAGATTGAATACATTTCAATTCAAGTAACTGTAAAGAAACTATCCTCTTAGCATACAGGTTGAATAATTTCAGCATTATATTTCCTGGCAGGAAGCTAATTAAGTTTTAATGTTGAATAAGTTTGGCTATATTAGACTCTCTTCAAAAGCAAACTTTAATTAGAAAGCAATTAAGAAAAAAGTGGTAGTTCCAAACAGATTCTAATCATAACAAAAACAACCTGATAGCAACAAGAATCTTTAAAAATGTGATTGCTTGACTACTCTGAAAGAAAAAAGATAAACTGACTTTCTTCCAAGTTTGAAGCATATAAGTTCAATGAATCTCATTATATATATATTTTGTCCACTGCAAATTCTGGTCCTGAGCTTTATTAACTTCATATTCCATTCTAATTACCTTTTCTAAATCTTAAATAAAATAAAGTTTAATTTCTGTCCTTGCAATTTGTATGTTTTCCTGGGAAACTTGAACAAAGGGGAAAAGTATGTTAATTTTAATAAAATAATACTTACTTGCGAAGTTTACCTTCTACCACCCACTTATCTCTCCTCAAGTTTGACATATAATCAATGTTCTTGTCGATTTCACTGCCAATGCACAAATTTATTAAAAGACATTAATTAAACCCAATTAAGCCAATGCATTTTTGTACATAAAAATGATTCAACTGATCTTGTGTGTGTATATATATGCATATACATGTGTTTATACATACATGTACATATTGTTGAAAAACTAACTTCTTCAATGGATACAACATTAGTATTATTACAAAATTCACTGTGGTTTTCAACCTTAAAGCAAGAAGGGAACTACCCACCAATTGCCTCAGAATTATAGCATTCTAAGTTTTGGTTTGCATATACTTAAGATCTGATCATTTCCAAAGCTATAGCAGTAGATCAGAATATACATGAAAATTTAAATAAGCACATGGTATATACATATATACATACAATATACATGTATATAAACATCCAAACAAAACCTGAGAATATTATGGTTATCTGGTGATGGTAATGAGTCAAACAGTGGTACATCTCTCCTGGTAAAGTAGAGCCATATGTACTCTTTACATTGAATTTGGGTGTGTGTGTGTGTTTTAAATAAGCGCTACTCAGCATTACCATTTGTTGTCAAGTTTGTGCTTAATGAAATTACACATTCATGAAATTGTAAAACTTAAATACTATCACACTTTTTGGGAGTGATTGCCAATAAACAGCAAAAACAAATGAAAAATCATATTAATACAACATCACAGCTAAGATATATACAGAAAACTTAAAATGTTCAGAAACAGTAGAAATGCCTGGCTCTGAATATTTACATTAACCTTCTTCCTAGAAGGATAAAGGACTAAAAGGAACATAATTAAAATCTGTAAAATAATGAAAAACAAGAACAATGTGAACATGAATTTGTTCACCAAATCTTAAAATTATAGAGTGAATAACTTACTTTGAATCTTAAGTGAGATTAAATACTTTTTAAAAAGTACTAATTAATACACTGATAAACTAATAATCTAAAGTTGTATTAGCATACAACAAAATAAAAAGTGGCTAGATAGTTCTATGAATAGTCACTAAGAAAAATTAGGTATTTCTCTGTCCTCGAAAGATTTCAAGGAAAGAAAAGTTCTGGATTTTTGCAATGGTGCTGGATTCTGGCACCACTGTAAGAAAAAAACATAATTTTCCAGGATATAGAGAATAAAATTATTAAATAAACAAAACACGTTACCAGGACTATACACAGTATGATCCAAATTTTCTTTTCAAAAGACTACAAAGAAATACACATTAAAATAGTATTAGTGGTCATTTCTGAATGGTGAGATTAAGTGTAAGCCTAATTTTCTTCTTTATGCTAGTCTGTAAATCAGACATTTTCTATAATTTATATAACTTTGTGATTGGACAAATTAAAAACTGAAAAGAATCACCAGAAAAGACTGGGCATACACTTACCTCACCACACTCTTGCTGCACGCTAGTTCATTGATCAGGAAAGCCAGGACTGAAGCTTTCTGCTCTGGAGTGTGCGCCTGAAAAGCTTTGGTCTTCAGGCTTTCAGTAAGCTCAGTTTGTCCACAGTGTGCTTCCATGAAAATCTGCAAAATCTCGGAAACATTGTCTCGATTCACACCAACATTCAGCAAATGCTCTCCAAGAGCTGTTTTCGCCTAAAAAAGTTTGATGCTTTTATTGGTATTGATCATAACCATTCATTCATATGATAAAAACAGTAAGATTAAAAAATACTGGTGTTACATGGTTTACATATTACTGACAAGGATTTTATTCACATTTTTGGTGAAGCGAAGATTAAAACAGGCAACAAGTGGTAGAAAAGTACTCAAATACTTCTATCTTTTGGTTCCTTCTTTAAACCCTTGGTTAAAAGTCAGGCAGGAAGAAGTATATTCATGTGTAGCAGAAGTTACAAATCATCTATCACAACTTCTCTGACAACAGAAACTATCCCAAGCTTGTCCCAGGGTGGTGAGGTTCAAAAGCACTATTACTGATGCTGTGTTTTCCGGCTTTAGAGTGTCATGGGTTTCATTGCCTAGTTCACTGAATGAATGGGGAGATGGAGGAAAAACTACATGTGCTTCTGGAGGCCTTCTTCTCCACAATATTATCTAGAGCAAAGCTGACTGGAATGTGTATGTTAATTGGAATTAGGATAAATTTGAATTTATTGAGCATCCACTGAGCAATACAGAGCCAACGTGCTGGTCTGTAGGTGCCTTGATTAGCCTCACGTTATTCACAGTGATTCAGAGAGAACAAAGTATAACTTCAGAAGGCACACACAATTTATCATTGTTCTATGAATTATGAATTCTCTGGTTTTGTTGAATACCACTTGGGTAATTCCTCTAACCAGTTTGGTCTTTGCCTAGAGCTAGAGAAGCTCTTAGGAATAGGCCACATTCCTTAGGCTTTATATATCAGGTTTTTCTAGGTTTGCATCAAATGTAACCAGAAGCAAATCTACATTTAACTTTGTGAGACATGTGGAAAAAATTGGATCAGTCTACACAATCTGCTAACACTCTATAGCTAGCTATCAATGCACTAATAGTAAGAATTTTAAGATTTTTTTTTTTATATTTTGTTTTTTTTACCTTGTATCCTGTAATTAGACCTGGATCACATACAGCAGCTGAGAGGAGCCTCACAAGCAAGTCTTGTACTTCACCCATGCTGTCCCCTATATTTAGCAATCCCTCTTGAAGAACACTCAGGTTTGGAACATCAATATTCACATCAAAGCCCAAAACTTTACCAAAGTTTCGTAAGAACTGCACCACCATGAGACAGTCTGAAAATGTACTTCCAGAGAGAACAAGTCCTGGAATACGAGGCAACTCTGGCAAAGGCTGGAAATAAAATACATAAATCCATAAATAAAATAAATTTAAAATTTAAAGAACCATGAATTTCTAAATTATAATAAGCTGCTATCTTTCTTTCACTTGTACCAGTGGTTTTCCCTCTGGATGGTAAACTCCCTGGTGGCATGTCTGCCACCCTCATAGTACTGAGCATAGGGTCTTGAACACAAGTAACCATTCAATAAATTCTGAATGAACTCAATATGAACTTAGATCTCTGCAAAAGAGAATACTAATTTTAATTAACTTACATATTGATAAAACGTAGATTATAATAACTGAAGCAAAAGTTAAATAACATATAAGAAACATTTCAACACTACTTTACCATGGACCTACTTAGTAGGGTATGTGCGCTGCTTTCTTCTAATGATGGAGACTGATTTATAATTCACACCTTTTTGGTAGCTCAGAAACTAACCTCGTGCATCTGTGGGCTGTACAGCTGGGAGAGTGGTACTATCTGTGGCTAACAAATGCAGATAAATTACTAGGCCTACATTATCGGAACACAACGACCCTGAACATGAACCCAGTTACAATGCAACCCACAGTCTTTAGGTTCCCCTGTATTTCGTTAAACACTGGGATTCAGTATTAAAGATAAAAAAAGCTGCCTCTGTTCAAATATGTTCACTTCTCAAAGATGTTCACATATTAACATTTTAATGACTAAACTGTATTACCAGTTTGCCATGGACATTTTAAAAATTCAATAAATAGGTAATCTATTAAAAACATTTTTGTACATGGATGGGACTCAATAAAACTACTTTAAATTTTGACTAAAACGTGACTTGTAAATACTTCTATTTATCTGAATTAGTCCTTGTTCAAAAATGTTCCTCACCCCTGCACCTACTGAAATAACTATCCAAAGCCTTTTTCTACTAATATTGTGTGGAACACAAAACTATGGATAATAGCTGATACCACACAAATGTTTTATGTTTCATTTGAAAAACAGTTAAATCGGAGTTTTCTTTTTTTCCTGAACCATATCAGACACATGCATTTCCATATAATTCGAACATAATTTATATGACAAAGCTAAGCATAGCTTAAAACAGACTTAAATTTCTGATACTTATATATTTACAATATGTGTCATTTAAATAAAAATAAAAGCTGCAAGAAAATAAAGCTCACTTAAGATTTTAAAAATTTGCTCACTATGAGCTCATTAGATGTGTTAGCCTATATAACTATAATGTACTTAGGAAATTTTAAACACCCAGATGATTAAAACTAGTAAGTATACTTTCATTTTTATTTAATAGCATTTATGCTAAGTAGATAAATAGAATATTAATATAATTCAATTTCTACTAGGGTATTAAAAGTTTGCTTTAAACATCTTAGAAAAGAGTTTATATAAATCAAGGGACAATCATTATTTATATCTGAGATAAATATGGTATATAAGTAAATATGGATGATACTGACCAAGCATAATAAGTTATTGCAACAGTATAATAGAGATGATACGTGTTATCAATATAATTTTCTAGAAGTACCATTTTTTTACATATAGTCAAAATAACTGATTTTTACTCAAAGTATGTGAAATCATGCTGGTTGCCAAGATTATTTTGATCTTTCTACATTTCCACTTTCGTAGATTTTAGCAACCTTACATGTATGAAGCACTAGAGACAACACACAAGAAGTACTTTAGTTCTACACAATTCCTTGGTTTTCAGGATGATATACCATACAGCTTCAGGAGTCTAACAAACTGGAGCTTGGATCTAAATTGTCACTTATTAGGTGTATAATCTTGGGCAAATTCCTTAACCTCTTTGTGTCTCAGTTTTCACATCTGTAAGTGCAGGTAAATACCACCTTCACAGGAACGTGGTAAGGATCGAATGAGACTCCAAATAACGCACTTAGCATAGTGCCTGGCATGTAGTACACGTGCTTAAAAAAGGTTAGCTACTACTAGTAAAGCATTGAATGGGGCTACAGACTATAAATCCTAATTTACTTAAATATCCATGGGGTGGGGGTGAGGAAGACTTAGATCTTTCTGAGCCTGAAGGCCTGGGACGAACCAAATGAAACACGGATAACCTATCTACCTCTATAATTCTTCTTTGTAGATTTTTGCAGTATTTCCAATTAAATTAGAAAGGTTTGTTAGTGCTCCACTTATGTATTAATAACTGCCCTATGACGGAGCAGGAGAAAAGTGGTGTGCAGAACTCAAATTCTAGTAAAAAGACCAGACTTAATGGTCTGACTGAGGCTGGAGGGACCCTGGAAGATATGGCCCCCAGATTCCCTGTTAGCCCAAAACTAAGACCATTCCCGAAGCCAATGCTTCAGACAAAGATTAGACTGGACTACAAGACATAAAGTGATACTTGTGAAGAATGTGCTTCTTAGCTCAAGTAGATACATGAGTCTAAATGGGCAGCTCCTGTCCAGAGGCGAGATGAGAAGGCAGACAGGGACGGGAGCTGGCTGAATGGACACAGGAAATCTGAGGTGGAAAAGAGGAGTGTGATGTCACAGTACGGGGAGAGCAACTAGGGTCACATAGCACTGTGTATAAATTTTTGTATGAGAAACTAACTTGAACTGTAAACTTTCATTTAAAGCACAATTAAAAACAAAAAAAAGAACTGCCATTATCAGTACAGGAGCTCTAGAGAGGTTTACTGGTGGCCATCCAGGAGAGGCAAATCGACCTAGACTTGGAAATTCACTGCTCTAGTTAAAAACGAAAAGCTTTCATAATGGCAGCTCAGGCAAAGGAATCAAGTAAGAACACAGGGAAGATTAACATTTTTTAATGAAATGATTCACATGATGTATAGATTACCTTTTGGTCTGCTAAGCACATGTCTTCATTAGGCTTCTTTAGTTCCTTTGCCATTTCTAACTCTAATCTTCTTTGCTCTAGTTTACGTTCCTTATTTAATCTTTTCTCATCACGTTTTTCTTGCTTCAACCGTTCCTTTTCCTTAAAAAGAAAATCATGTCCACATATTCTCCTTAATCATTGTATGTGTTTGAAAAAAAACTCCAGTTAAAATTTAAAAGGTGATCAAAGTGTTATGTTACTATTTCCATGAACAGAGTATAGACCTTCTCTTAGGAGGTTTAGGAACAGATGTGGAATTATATAGAAATAATTACTTATTTTGCTTTTCATTATTTTCACCTCTTGAATTTCAAACTAATCTTATGAGTATATATATATTTAACATTAATATTTGATTTAGTGCATATTATTTCATTATTTAAAATGTATTCAAACCATTCCTAGGTTTATAACATGGGAACAAGATATGTATTAATAAAAACAGGGATACAAAACGCACATGGGCAGCTACATATTTGAAAAACAAAGATAACAAGTATTAATATAAAATTTTGTGTAGCTCCAGGAGGCAAAGCAGAATTTACAGTAAGAAAGCAGAAGCAACATCTTTGAATTTGCAAAAGCAGTTCTTTCAAAGTGAATTAGCAGGTCTTAAGATAGCAGCTGTGATGAAATCAAAATATTTATTATTTACCACCATAAACAACACTTAAGAGAATATAAAGTAGGTTCTGAAGGCAATTCCAAAAGCCTTCAAAAATATTTAGTGTAATGGCAACAATATGGAAATAACTCTCTTATCTCCCTGTTGTGAAGGATGATATTGAGTCAGAAGAAAAAGTTAGAGACTCTGTATCATAAAACCAGAACCATGATTTTATTGTAATACCTCAAACAAAAATAACAGTAGAATTATCAGGCAATGCTAACCTATTACCCTCACGTACCCTATTTATTTTTGTAAGGCCTAGCTTTGGTCATGTCCTTCCTTGATTAAAAATCTTTCAATTTTCTATCAAAATAAGGTCAAACTCCTTACTTTTTAACTTGGACTCCTTTTCTTTTCCACCTTATCGCCCACTTCTATCTCCTATGGAGATTTAATCAAACTATTTGCTATTTCTGATAAACCAAAAAAACTACTGCCATTGAATCAATTCCGACTCATAGCAACCCTGTAGGACAGAGTAGAACAGTCCCATAGGGTTTCCAAGGAACAGCTGGTGGATTCAAACTGCCAACCATTCAGTTAGCAGCTAAGCTCTTAACTACTACACCACTAGGGCTGTGCTATTCCTAATAGAAATGTCTTACTTTCTGACTTTCTTGTATTGGAGCACTTTGATCAGGAAGGTCATTACTCCCATCTTGCATATCTAAACCCTAATTAAACACTACCACCTCCTCACTCTTAGACCAGATAACTGATTATTTTTGCTCATATCCTAATCCCATTCCACCCTAATAACACTGTCAATTCCTCAAGACAAGAACTATATTATTCCATTTTTACAGTCCCATGGTACATTAAACTTATGAGATAAATTCAACAATAAGTTGAATGAATCTATGTTTACTATTATATCCCACATTTTATGTGCATTCATTTTTGGCAAGAGCTAGGAGGAAAAAACTGAAAAACACCTGGATACTAGGAACATTTCTTCCTTTTTGTTAATAGTATCTGTGTATGTGTGTGTGGGGAGGGGGGCGGTCAGTATTCTTTTTTCCTTTTTTGTTTTTTGTTAATTCCTTAGGAATGGTTCTGGTGACCTGGGGCAGGCATTTGCAGAAGGGGCAAGTTAGTAACGGTGGTGAGGTAAAGAGTTACTGACTTCCTACATTTTCTTGGTGCTGTGCAAGACAGTTAGCCAGGAAGAGAGAAGAAATACAAGTGGGAAAAGACTATGAACGCCTTAGAATCTCTGTCACCCACTGGTTTACATCTCCATTCCCACTGGTAAAGTTAGAGGTATAAAGACATAAATTAGGAGCGGACGAAAGCCTAATCTCCCTAAATCGTCTTCTACTTCTTCCTTTTTTATTTTTTAGTACATAGGTAGCCTGCAGTGGGAAGGTCAAGAGAATGCAAAGGAAAAGGCAGAAAATCTTCTCTTGATTTTTTTGTCTCCATTCTACCCATCTCTTTCTTGAAGCCACTATTCAATGGAATGATAAGGGCATGGAGATAAAACATTCTGAGAAAACTACATTTAGCTGCCAATTACAACACTAACTTCAGTCCCAAATCTCTCTAAATTCTCAACCAACCCATACTAAACTTGGCTTTTTATTTTCTCCAATGTTATATTGCAGCCTTTTCTTTTCTTAGGTCTTTTCCTGTCCTTCACATCATAGTAACTTGTAGAATTCCTCATTCCGTTAGCTCTGTTCTTAGTACTATTAATCACAAATTACTTGCTTATATGATAACTCGTTTCTTGACTTTGTGCTTGACTACTAACCTAAAGGTTGGCAGACTGAACCCACCCAGTGGCTCTGTGGAAGAAAAGGCCTAGCAACCTGCTTCTTTAAAGACTGTCATTGTTGTTGTTTTTGTTGTTAGTTGCCGTGGAGTCACTTTCAACTCATGGAGAGCCCGTGTGTAAAGATCATGGCCAAGAAAACCTTATGGAGTAGTTCTACATGGGGTCGCCGTAAGTTGGAATCGACTGGATGGCAACGGGTTTGTTGTTTTTCTTTTTCTTTTGCGGTTTCCAAAAATCTCAGAAATTTGTGGGACTTTACTTAAAGCATCAATTTTTGTCTGCTATCAGGGATATTTCAGTGGAAAAATGAAGTCTCTAAATTTAGTATGAATTGTATAGGACTAGAAGAAATCTTGTGGTTCTGGTACAAGATAATTCTCAAAAAACCAGAGCTTCTAGAGTCCACTAAACAGCCAACCAATATTTAGAATGGTATATAAGGCCAGTTAGAATCTAGCCCCACACAAGTTCTAGTCTCAAATCTCATGAGTCTGAGTGAATTTCTCACACTCCAGCAGCACTGTGTGACACACCTGTGTTGAGAAGACAGCGTAGTCAATTTGAAGCTACTTGCTTGCATCATAAGCCTTTTCTTGACAGACTAAGCTGCCATACTGGATCCTACATCTAATTTCTATATTATATTTTGTTATTATGTCAAATGTTATGATTTCACAACGGAACTTTTTGATTTTGCAAAGTCGGTTCACAACAGACCTTTGACCTATCAGAGATAAGACTTATTAAGCCTATTATAACATGAAAGGAATGTTAAATCATATTTTATGCTAATATTGGTTAAATTTCAGGGCAATAACTTAGACTACCTACAAATGACTACAGAATATACCATATTTTTACTCAAATAACATCCACCTTCTATGTTTGTTTGCCAACTGCGCCCTTCCGCCATGAGATATTTTTGTAACCTGCTGTGCTACTTTTCTTTTTACAGCAACATGTGAAAAAAACTGGCATAGCAAAGCATACCAAAATACCTCATGGGGGATGGTGCGGTTGGCAAACAAACGTAGAAGGTGTGAGTTACCGGATAAAAATGTGGTGGGTACTGACTATATTTTAGATTGACTATAAATAATTACAGATCCCCAGTGGGCAGTGGTTGAGATCTCGGCTGCAAACCTGAGAAAGGTCAGCAGTTCGAATCCACCTTGGAATGCTCCTTGGAAACCCTATGGTGCAGTTCTATTCTGTCCTATAATGGTTTTGGTGGTTTATAAATAATTACAAGCAACTTAGTATGCCGCCTCTCAATTTTTTTTTCTACTTCATTTTCCACCTTTCCCCCACCATAGTTTTCCAGATACAGAAACTTCTGAAATACATGTAGATTCTTGGAATGTAGTTCATGCATAATAAAATACCTTTTTATCATTCTAATTAAAGTAATGAGATATTTTTGCATCAAAATGTTACTAATATATTAGTTAAAAAGTCACTTAAAATTTCATTTCAAAGTTGAAACATCTTTTGATGACAAACACATTAAATTTAAATTATTCTAAACAGTGTAAGATGCACAGGGAGAAAAAACAGAACAGTTTTTTACTCACATGAAAAGATTATTTTGGACACTATAGAAGCATAAATAAAAGTATTTCCAGAAATCTATAGCACAATAAGGAATGTATGAAATAATGTTTTTCTATTTGAGAATTATGTAAGTTTAAAAAACATGGAATGTGGTCACTCAGATGCTTTGACCTATTATTGCAAAGTTTACAACTTATAAGATTGCAAAACAGGCCCTTTTTAAGAGACCAGGTTGCAAGATGTTTTTGTATTTTATGATTCAGCTGGGTCTCTTAGGTGTTAGTTCTTGGCATGATTAGAAGAATACATTTCTTCTGACAGCAACTTGTACTCAAATGTAAAAGACATAAATACAATTTAAGAGGCACAGGTTTACCTCAGGGTACAAGAAGAATAAAAGTGTAAGTAAGATTAATAATATAAACCATTTATAAAAGACAAAATGTAAAAAACAAAAATGATACCGTTTTATGATCACATATTGAGTACGAGTAGATCAGGAGTAATTTTTTTAAAAGAACCTATCATTCTTACATTTTAATTTTACATTTAAAATATGAAAATTAAATTTAAACAAATGAAAAGTATGTATCATATGATTGAAGAAACCCTAAAGGTACTTCTTATATTTTATAGGTATAAAGTAATTATATTTAAAAAGAATATAATCTTTCAGTTATCATAATTTCTTAAGACTCACCAAAGTTTTACGTGAAAAATTCTATATTTCTTTTAGATTAAGTATCTTTAAATATCGTTTAGAATAGCTACAGCTATAGAAATGCTGTCTAAATTCAAACCAAAATGTTAATTCTTGAGTCAGGTAACTCAGAGATTTAATGTATCTACACTGAATTGATAACAATGCTTTCTCAAATCTATTGTTACATAACATTTAACACTTCATTGAGTAGTTAATACAAAATCATTTCACATTTGTTTTTAGAGACAATTTTAAAATTAATTACATTTGTATATTGTGTTTCTAACTGAAACATGGGTTTACTTAAATAAAAGTGCCTATATTGCAAAAGTGCAAAAGTACAATCCCACTTTGTATTTTTCACAAAATAATGATTGGTATAAATACAGGATTACAAAATACTCTCATCACTTGAATCACTGGGGGGCTGTGAATTTTTCTACTTTCAAATTGCTTATTAGATGACTTCTGGAACCTGAACTACTGGCTTCCATGTTATGGTTTTGTCTCCTAAAGTGCTGACACAGTCATTCTCTGATAGACGCATGCTTAACAACCTTTTGTAGTTTACTGATCCTTAGGGAGACATAGAAAAGACTCTGTTACCATTACTATGGTTATTACTCAGTTAATAGGAGTAAAGTAATTATAAACTTGTGACTGGTATAGTTTGCAGTTTTTATAGCTGAAACAGTAGTTTTTGAGTTAAATGTTACTTCCTCATGTTGTTCAAAACCACCTTAAGCTTCCAGTGATCATTAATAATGAAAGAGGAAGTATTTCAAATTACTCGAATTATTCTTGAAAGTAATAAGCCTTTTTTTACTTATGAGGCTAAAGAATATTCTTCTTATATTATGTTAATGAAAATATTTATGAGCTATTATGATATACTAAGTCTCTTTAAAATTAATCTGATAACAATAAAGGAAAGTTACATAAGTCTGAATTTTCTTACTAATGGCAGATTTACCTAAAGACAAAACTACAGAAATTAGATTTTTTAAGTATAGAACAAATAGAAATTTGGGATCTTTTTGTAGTGAAAAATAAATATTGAGTCAGTACTAAGTCAAAAAGTAAGATCAGTGACTTTTACACCAAGAATCAGAAAAGTGGTGACTGTGCTCCCTTCCTTATTTGATGGATGCAGGGAGTTTCTCTGAATAGTCTGAGATGCCGTAGAAGATTATTAATTAATGAGGTGAAAGGCACACTTTTTAGAACATCATTATTCTTCAAACACTACTCACAAGATGTGCATTTTTATTATCCTCTATTTTTCTTTCTTCTCAATCTAATAATTAAAGGTCTTAAAGGTATTAAAGTTTATAATGAAGGGCTACACATAAGCCAATTCAGAATTTTCAACTGGCCTTGCCTGAATTTTACATGGCCTTATAATAAGCTTAGTTCTCTAGGCAGTTAGTAAAACTGACAGATTTGAGCCTATTGTTCGGAGGTAACAGGAGGCAGAACATGGAGCCCAGGCATGCCCATTATTGACACTGCACTAGTTATAGCTTGTGCATGTTAAGTAATAATGAGGAAATGGACAAATACAAATAGGAGTATTTGGTTAATACCCACTGGGTGCAAGTTTATCTAAAAGACTGGGTGAAAGTCTGAATCTTCTGTAAAAACGTGCCTAGGTGTTGCTTAACTGTTTACACTGTAAAGTTTTATCTCTCTCATATGATTATAAACATCTTGAATATTCTTTCTGTTTTTCTCACAGTATCTAATACAATGCTGGGCACAGTAGTAATTTAAGAAATTTTAAAAGTACTTAGTTGATCACACATCTATATGTGTCATTCAATAGAGGAACATAATTTAAAATCAGAATGACTGATAAAATTACCCAGCCTGTGAGCAGTACTGTTCCCCCTCAGGAAAATGCCATTTTTATAATTTCACTATCTACATATGCATCTCTAAAAATGTAGTTTAACTTTGCTTGTTTTTGAAATTTATAAAAATGGAGTCACATTGTATTCTTTTGTGTTTGAATTATTTTGGCTCAACATTTATGTATGTGATTTATGCATGTTGTTCTACACTGTTGTTTCTTTCATTCTGTAGTGTATGCTATTACAAGAATGACTATAAACAATTTATTCATTCTACTGTAATGGAAATTTGGGCTGGTATTGTTTTTGGCTATTACGAATAACGCTGCCATGAGCATACTCAAATATTCTTCTGGTGCACATGTCCAAGCAGTTTTGCAAGGTACAGAGCAAGGTTTTTCTACCTCAGCACTATTGACATTTTGGGCCAGGTAATTCTTTGTTGTGGGGGCTCTCCTGTGAATTGTAGGATGCTTAGCACCACCCCTGGCCTCTGCCCATTAGGTGACAGTAGCACTCTCCCAGTTGTGGTAACCATATATATCTTCAGACAAACCAAATATCCCTTGGGGGGCAAAATCGCCCCTGATTGAGGGCCACTGGTTTTGATGAATTCTTGGAAGATTTAATTTTAATTAGTCCCATTTATCCTGTAGCTGCCACCCTATCTCCCCTACTCAACTCAGATTTCACCCACCTTGCTTCAGCAGCTTTTCTCACTTTCTTCCAGGCCATGGAAGGCAAATATGAAAAACCAATAGGAGTGGCAATGTCTTTGGAGCCTTTTGGGTACCTTTTCACCCGGGCATTCACTCCCTCAGATCATCTATTCATACTATATTCTTGGGTCCCCCTTCTACTAAATCCTAGTATGTCTGGAGATAATGCTCTGGGTTTTTTGATTACTCTGCCTTCCTTCATTAGCTTTCTTCCTAGCCAGAAAATACCAAAATGACAAGCCCCGGTTATTTTTACTTCTAGTAAGAAATAAACTTGGTAAGGAAGAATTTGTCCTTTGAGGAGTTCTCCAGGTTTTTTTCCAAGTTACTAATTGCTCTCTAGGCTTCCATCTCTCCAGATTAGAGGATATTAGGCCGAGCGTTCAGGGTTTTAATTAACCTCGCTCCCTATCCTTCCCACCACCATACCGATTCCAGAAAAGAACAGAGATAGCAGCCATGCCAATTCATGGAATCTGTTACCTCTCTCCCTTTCCCTGGCTATCATTTTTCAGAGATATGGTTATAATTCCATGCATAGAATTCCATTATTATATTTTGTGTATAGGGTGCCAATGAGCCTAGATAATCAACAGGTTAGGGAAAAAAGAGAGCAGGAAAAACGTGATTGCTCTAAATTACCTTAGAGGTAATTTAGGTTAGTAGTTCCCTGCCCTGGCTATGAATCTTGCTAGCTTCACTCTATAGCAAACATGTATGTAGAAGGTACATTGTACCTGGTATATGGCCAGACACTATCCTAAGAACTTTGTGCATATGCAAGCACACGCATATGCGTGCACACACACACACATCCAATCATCACCATAATCCTATGATACAGGAACTGGTCTTAAACCTCATTCTGCAGATGAAAAAACTGAGCCACAGAGAGATTAAATCATTGTCCAAGGTCATGTAATTAGAAACTAATGAAACTAGATTTCAAACCCAGGTAATCTGTCTACTATGTCCATGTTCCTAAAGAATACAAATAATAAGTCTATACTGATTGTTTAAGTCAGAGCTTTAAAGTACTGAGACTAAAATATAAACCTCTCAACTTCTATACTAGTGTCATTTTCATTAATTCTCATTCATTAAATGTTTATCTCACTTGATAATCACACAACCTTAGGAGGTAGAATGGCCTGCAAAGGTAAGGGGAGTTGGTGGCAAAGCCAGCATGGAAGTCTGAGTCTTTCAACCTCCAGAGCCCTGACTGTAATGGCCACAGCTCTTCTCAACTTTTTAATGTAGGATACTTTCCTTTATAGTACATGTTTTAACCTTTAACTGACTTTTATGTTGCAAATAAGCTCATTTTGGCCTATTTCAATAATTGTCTTATTCTGAATTATCTATTAAAAGTATTTTAAGCAAAGTACTTAGGCTTAATTTTATACATAGAATGCTGAAGAATAATTTTGAGGGCAGTCTATTCTAAAGTCAATGGTTGGAATGATTAGTATTTGAATCAGGACACGCAGGACTTACCTAGGCATGCTGTATTATTAGTAAATAGCTACTTTTATCTAAACCAACCTCATTCACTATACTAAGAAATGATCATTAAAACCTCAGCCAGGAAAATTAACACATACATCGGAACCCTTCCTACATTCTTTTAAGTCTTAGCACTCAGTTCCTATCTCTAACCTTTGGTTTGCTTATGAAAGCCAGTAAATCATGACAAACATATACTCTGAAAAATTTATATTTAGAAGAGCCAATGCTTTAGGAAAAAAAATTAATTTATGACATGGTAATTTTTTTTTCCTAGAAACATACACTTACTTCTGCTTTTTTACGAGCTTCCATAGCTTTCATAAGCATCATATGTTGTCGCCTTCTCTCTCGTTCCTATTAGGCCAGATAAAATTAGGAAAATAACTCAACCACAGCTAACAATTTGATTTTTAAATGGAAAAAACAAAACAAAACTTGGTATAGCATGTTTAGCATTTATAGACAAATCACAGTAAATACTAAATATAAGACAAGAATGGCCAGTCTGTGCATGTTTTAGTTCAGGTTTAGAAAGCAAATACAAGAACAATCAAAAGCAAAAAAGGTAAAAGCAATGAACATGGAGACAGTGTAAACAGAAGCATACAAGATTTACTTATGGTCAGTTGTGATGCTCCTTCAAAAGCTGGCAGAACAAAAAGCATAATGGTTGGCTGGAACAGGTCAGTTACCTTACATCTGCTATTAGAAAAACCACAAATACTTACTATAGCCAATTAAACTAAAAGTTGTGTTGTTCTTAAATTTTTAGTTCAGGCGAAAATGGATTTATCATCACTTTCACTTCATGGTTTTAGAATTGGTTAGTTTTATTTCAAATACCAAAATCATTTTGTAAATCCAATAAGCCACCAACAAATTGGAAAGTTTTTTTAAGTTTTTACCAATTTAGTTAAATTAAACTAATCTTGGTTCATATACAAACATCAATGAAATGGGATATTCCTATTTACTGATGTCTGCCACTTGATGCGCTATTTAAAGTCACAAAAGCTGCACCATGAGCTTATTAATAAGCGGAACCTAAAAGGCACAGTATGAAAGTAAGGTAAGCGCTAGCTTAATTCAAAGGTTTCATTTTATTTTAAAATACTAATATCACATATTGATAATATATAGTTGATTATTTGTTTAAATATATTTGGTCCTCCCAAAGGGATAGTTCAAATTTTTTAAATAAAAATTGTCTATAAAACTAGAATACATTTCATATTCTCTCATCAACCTAACTCAAAATTCCCATTGTATTCAATGGCAGTTTTGCACATAGAATGATGGGAGAATGTGGGTCATAACTGCATCAAATTTATAGTGATCCAAACTTCATTGTGACATCAGTAATGTAAATTTTTTAGATGGAAGCCGTATATAAGGCTTGTACAATTCAATTAAAAATCTTAGATATGTATCAGACTTTCCTTATAGACAGACAAGCAGATGTATGCAATGCACTGTGCTGTAAAGCCATGCAGCAGTATGTAATATGACAGCAGCCAGTGCTACACTTTATGCATTGCTATGACAACCATATCACAACCAAATCACAATGCGGTGTTAGATGTACAAAAATAAACATACCCATACCATATCTAGTCTATGCCTCTCCAACTCCTGGTAGAAAGAGTTGGCACAACATTATGAAACAGAAATCACAGAGTCATAAAACCAATTTATAACCCCCCAAAAGACACCAATACCAAAGCAAGGCAATAAACTGTAAGATGAAGGGAAAAACTTAAGCAGAAATTATATCAGCAAATTTTTAAGAAAATGTTTTGAAGATTTTCCCCCAAATAGATTTAAGCAAAACTGTAAAATGTACAGTCCAACAGCTGTAAAACTGTATGTATACAGACCTGATGCTTCAGAAGAACAGCTTGTTGTCGTCTCATCTCTTTTTCCTTAAAAATAAGAAAGTTTTAATATATGATTTTTAGAGAAGATTTAGAACATGCTAAAAGTATTAAAAATTCCTTTTCTGAGATTGTCTAGTATTCTACTAGGTTTAATCATATGAAATTGCCAATATTGGATCATTTTTTTACTTGTGGCAATTTCATATGGTTCAATATAATACATAAAAATTGTTTAAGATACAGCAAGGATCTTCAGTAGCCATTTCAACTTAAAATTCAGTGACCTAATAGCACATTTCAAATGTGCTAAAATGATTAGCTAGACTGTCAGAGCATATCAGATACAATTGGCACATTTTTTTAATTATTATTTTGATACATTATGGCACAAGCCTCAAATCTAACTGATCAGAAGTCTCTCTACTCTAAAGATCTACTCCTAAATATACTCTATAATTAATACCATCTCTTTCATTTCTGAACACTGTATATGAATGAGAGTAACAAGAGTCTCTGATCAGTTTGAGATTTTCATGCCTACTATCCCAAGGGGGTGAGGCTTAATGCAGACAATTCTATGCATGTTACCAATTTCAAAATTTTTATAAAGGTAAAATCCGCATGAAATTAATATTAAGGACAGCCATGAATAGGGGTAGAAGTCTAAACAACAAAGTAATAGAGTATACACAGAAAAGGTAACAACCAGTTTCCTGGCTTTATAAGGTGTCATGGTGGTGGCTGTTTCCAGCACCAGTAGGATAACTCAGGCATCAGACTTAATGATCAGAGGACTGGACAGTAAGATGTGGGGTGGATAGAGGAAGAAACAATTCTCTTATTTTTCATGCCAGGAAAACAAAACCAAAACACCTCCTAACATTTTATTTATAATAATTAACAATGGCTAATTTTATTACTGGTAAATAATAGCTGATAAAGTTAGGTTCTTGTTTCTGTAGACATTTCAAAACAAAGTTATAATCTAAGAGGACAACCAGATTTGGGACACAGTCTGAAACATAAACATAAACAACACACAAAATAGCTTTGGAGGGATCATTTTTATCAAGCAAAATGGTATACAGGTATTATGTGATAGTTTGCACTTCTGATTAGATGCATAACCAAAGCATCACACAAAACCTGTATAATGAAATAAAAAAATATATACAATATACATACAAATAAAAGCATACATTATATACAGGTTGTATTTATGGCTAAACATATTTTTAGATAATCATTTGAGGACAGCCATTTCTTTCATATAATTCATACTGGTATAACAATCATATAGTTTTTATTTTTTTAAAATAAAAACTCTGATTCTCATCTAAACTAACCTTTATTCGTTTCTCGGCCTCCAATAATTTGGCATTTGCTGCTTCTTCCTTCTTTTTCTTTTTAGCCTGTGCATGCAAAACAGGTCTCAAAGTCATGCAACAGCACCACTACAACTTGAAAATAATCTCAGACTTGAAATGACACTACATGCCTCACAAAGTACAAAACAATATGTAACATAACATGTATATGTAGACAACTACATATTTTCCGCCACTTAACATTATATTTAATATACTAACTTCAATTCTAATTTATAGACCAGAATTAGGATATACAAAAAAATTCTTAAATTCATAAGAATATATGACAACTTTGTTTTTATCATCTTTAAACTTTTAAAAGTCTGAAATAATTATTTACATTATTTTACTTTAAAAATCACAAAAAAGCAATTTTGTTATTGTTTTCATTTTTTAAAAGTAAAACAAGATTGCTATAAAAATTTAGAAAACAAGGTAGATTTTAACTGTAAAAATAAAAATTCACAACACTAAAAAATGCACCTATTTTATTTGAAATTTCTTTTGCAATACTTGAAGTTTTTAAAAAAAGAAATCCATTACTCGAATGATTTAAATGAAATATATTAAATCTGATTTTCCCTATCTCTGTAAATTGCAGTTAAATTCAAGTGTTCTTTTTTTAACAGAATTGTAATCTTTCATGAAGCACATTTTGACTATCAAGATCATGCTTTCAAATTTGAGTTTCATAATCTTAAAGTCAGTAAGTATCTAGTAATTTCATATAGGTTATTGTCAATTTACTTTAAGATGGAAATATTTTCAATATGGGGGGTTTTAAAATTAACTTGAAATAGGTAAAAAAAAAATGTGCATATTTTATTCCTTCTAAAAGGAAAAAACTGTAACATAGAAAACCTAAGCTATCTAGAGCCCTCAGGGAATAAACTGTTCTATAAATAAGCAGCAGAGAGTTTCCTGAACAGCCAGGAGGTTATACTAATTTTAAACATTAAAAGTTTATTTTCACTATTTTGGGTGAAAATAATTTTGAGACTTATGCCTGCACAAACACAGTACACTAAACTAATATGGCTTTTTCCTGATGACTGAGAGCAGTTATTCTGACCATCAGTTATTATACTGCGCAGTTCTACTGGTAATGCCTTTGGGCTATTAAGGTGTTGGAAATTGCTTGCTATTCAACTAAGAGATAGCAGACTGTTGCTAGGCTTCTGAGTTCCTGTATATGCTAGCTGAGGTTTTTTCCTGTATTTTTCCTGGTTGTTTGTCTTTTGGCTATTACTTTTGTTGTTGCCAAAGTATAGTCCAGTTCTAATCAGCTTGTGGAGTAGGGGGCGGGGAGTCCATTAGAAACCAGGTCTCCAAGCTGGTTAAATCATTTCTAAATTTTAAAACTTACTTTTATTTTTGTAATGTCTACTCATGTAACCATTTGTTTCTAAATTAAAAGTAAATATTTGACTATAAGCCCTACGATCCTTCTAAAAGTAAAGAACATGAGTTTTACTACATGAACTTTATGCCAACTATATTGGTTACTTAGACATTTCCCTTCTTGTTTTCTCTCGTTTGTCTTATTTCTTAGGCTTTTACTGCTAGATTTAGATGAGCTTGCTAAATAAGGTTCAGCCTGGTAAGGTCTTACTTGATACATTATGTTTGAAGAGAATTTTTTATGGATAAATTATTTTGGCTAAGTGAGAGAACATGTAGGCAAAATTTTTATTTTTGCTGACTTAAAAAAATGAATATATTACTTTAGTTGTATTAAATTTAATAAGAGTTCTACCTCTAGAATTTGCTGGGCTCGAAGTTCTTTCTCCATTCTGATTTGTTGTATTCTCTTAATTTTTTCCTGTAGGAAAAATTGTGATTATTTAAGATGAAAAAAACTAAGCACCTAGGTGAAAACTGTTTAAATGGAATAAAATTATTAAGAATATTAGTACACCTTCACCTAAAGTACAATTAAAAAAAAAAGAATATAAGTACAAAACTACCAAAGGCTGCCCAAGTCTAATTATTTAGTTTAACATCATATATATTTATGTCAAATTAATGGTTTTATAAAATTTCTCAAAATAATTTATAAAGTACAAACGCTAAATAAATATATAGAAACTAGGTAAACCAAGCTGATACGACTCACACAACTTGAGGATCATTATAAATATTTGAAATACAAAAAAAAAATACATAATTTGAAATAAATGTAGGACAGCATAGCAGAAAAAACACCGGCAGAAAAAACACCATAGCAGGAGTCAGAAAACTTCAGTCTAGTACTGGGCTAGCTACTGTCATTTATTGCATGACGCTGAGCAAAGAATATCTATTCTTCTATAAAATAGGAGAGCTGCTTGTCCTTCTCATTTGTCAGGATTAAATTTAAACAAATTTAAAAGTATAAAGTGCCACACAACTATAATAGATGATTATTAACAATTTTATACTATAATTTCTTATTTCACATGCTGAATAAAATAAAAATATGACAGTGCTTTTAACAAGTACAATAAGCTAACTTCAAAAAATAATCCATTAAGAATATTTAAAAATGAATTAATTACAGTTTAGCATTTGAGGGAATTATTCACATGGCATAATTTAATGTACTGGCTATTGGTTAGGTTTTAGAATTTTGTGATTATGTAAATTTTGATAAGAACTTAGCATACTGACTTTAAAATATTATTCATAGGCTATAAGCACATTGTTAGCAATTTCATGTTCATAAATCCTTTTGAAAGTCCCCAACTGGCACTGATGTGAAGAGAATGCAAGCATAGTTACAAAAAAAAAAAAATTTTTTTCCTACTTGCAAATTCCACTTCTCCTAGAATTTTCACAGCCAACATATTTTATACTGTTGTATATTAGAATAACTGCTACAATTTCCAGATGTTAGTTGTACCTTTGAAACTATAATATGCTTTTTAACTGATCTCTTTTCTAGACCTTTGTCTTAACTGTTCAAGTGATTTATATCAATGTACATATATTTGGTAGTGCTGTCATTAGCATGTAGCAGGGACAAATATTATTTATTAATTACTATATCATAAACCCATTGCCGTTGAGTTGATTCCAACTTGTAGCAACCCTATAATATAGGTTCACTTTACAATATTTAGCACCCAGCCACTGAACTGGGCACTTTACATAAAATATCTTGATCATCACAACAATCATAAGAGTTGAAATTATCTTCTTTTTATGTAAGAGAAAACTGAGGTTCTCACAGAGTAAATATTTTGACTAAAGTCAAATTGTAAATACAGAGCCCTGTTCAGATCCCAATGCCTGTGCTTCTCTGCTGCATAATAATGCTTCTGCCAGTTTCCAGAAAACTGCCTTGAGGAGTATCTGGTGATATTTTTGGCCTATTGGGTTGAAAAATAATCCACAGGATGAGAAGCACCTTACTAATGTAAATACGGCATTATGAAACAGACTGTGTGAGTAGGTTTATTCTGTACTTTGATTCACTTTGTTGGCCATAATGAACGAACCAGATGTTATTCTGAGACTAGCTTTAGATAAGCATCTTCATAAATATCTAAGACTAGCTCATTTGCATTACTGTTTCAGGACTTTGGAGATCCCAATTTTTTTTTTTTTCAATCGTGCTTTAGGTGAAACTTTACAGAGCAAATTAGTTTCTCATCCAACAATTTATACACAGATAGTTTTGTGACATTGGTTGCAATCCCCACAATGTGTCAACACTCTCCCCTTCCACATCCCACTTCCCCGTTTCCTTCCGTTCATTATTCCTGTCCCGTCCTGACTTCTCATCATTGCACTGGGGCCAGTGTTGCCCTTTTGGTCTTGTATACATGATTGAACTAAGAAGCACGTTCCTCATGTATGTTATTATTTGTTTTATAGACTTGTCTAATCTTTGACTGAAGGGTAACCTTCGGCAGTGGCTTCAGTTCTGAGTTAAAACGGTGTCTGAGGGCTGTAGTCTCAGGGGTTCTTCCAGTCTCTGTCCAATGTATTTTTAATGAGCAGCATTAAACATTAGGTTGTGCCCACTTTAACATTTTAGGATCACAAAACTAAACTAAAAGTAATAATGGGATTTGATGACTCTCTAGCCTCTAGGAAACAGGAACTCTGAATTCTGAATCCAAACACAAAATCGATTCTTACTAATCACACTACTTCAGTCAATACTAGGAGGAACCTTAGTGATCATCACATCAACTTCAACCCAAGCTATTCATTAAGTAGCTATCAATATAGGAACAAAACTGATTTTTCTTTCATACTCAGAAGTAACTATTTGCTGTTCAAAAGTTTTTTTTTTAAGAATAGTAATCTTCTCCCATTTTTTTCTGCTTTAATGGTTATGTGAGTATCCGGAGATGGGTTCACATGTTCCCTTCTTAAATGAACTTGTATACCTGTCTCTTAATGTTTTACTTATAAAAACTTAAAAATTACTTCTTTTACTTAAATTAAATTTTGAAACCACACAAGGGAAGAGATTTTGTAGATATAAAATGTAAGATATAGAACCCTGGATATGCTAAAATAATGCCTTTTTTGTTTTTGCGGTAGTAAATTTTAAGTCACTCTAAAAGCATTCAGAAGCAATGACGGCAAACTTTATGCTATATAACTTTAATTTTTTTTAAATATTTTACATAACTCAGAACAGCAAAATTGTTATTAAAATGTAAACATATAAGCAATATCCTTCACTTAAAAAAAAAAGAAAAAAACTGAAACCTTTTGCCATCGAGTCGATTCTAACTCATAGCGACCCTATAAGACAGAGTAGAACTGCCACCATGGAGTTCCCAAGGAACGCCTGGTGGATTCGAACCACTGACGTTTTGGTTAGCAGCCATAGCACATAACCACTACACCACCAGGGTTTCCATCCTTCACTTACTGATATGCTAATTTAAAAAGTTTAAAAGCTGTTCAAGATGTAAACTTACATTCAAAGTCTACTGGGACATTCAAAGTACTTAAACAAATTTTCCATTTGGTAATCATTTTTTTAAAAACTCAGACGTAGAAGACTTCTAAAAATTTTAACTAATGGAAGATGACAACTTTCTAAATAAGACACGTAACATTAACATAAAATTTAGTTATTTAAGACATCAAAATAAAAATAAGGTACATATACACATACACAAATAGATCCCCAAAATAAGCCTGTGCTTTGAAAATCGGTTCTGATGCATACACATACCTGCTGTTTCATAATCTTTATCTGTTCTTTTTGTTTTCGCTTCTCCTCAGCAGCCATTATTGCTATGAGGAAAAATGAAAGGACAGGTATCAGGAGAAACTTCTTATGAATTCCCCAATATTCACTGTTCAAGTTTATGTAATCTTTTAAAAGTCACCCACCTTGCTGTTTTTTAGCTTCTTTGGCAACCCGAGCCTGTTCCTGTTTTTGAAGTTTTCGCAAAAGTTTTATTTGCGCTGCTTGCCTGGCTATTTCTGAAAAACATAAAATTCAAGGAATATTACTAACAACTTTATATAGCTCATAACCTAAAAACAATAACTGTGTGAAATACATATCATTATGAAGGAAAAAAACATTTAAGAAAGTTGCCTGAGCTTAGACAGATATCAAGTAAGAGAGTGGTGTGGCAGAAAATGCCATGTTCATGTCTCCTCGAAGTCGCCAAACTATTTCATCAAGTATGATCCCATATACAGAACTATACAAAAATGATGTTCTCTTAATCTTCATTGCAGAGGCTCACTCAAGTAAATTTTTTTATTTTGAGTAATCCTCAGTTAGGAAGAAAGCAGCTGCTAATATGTAAGAATAGCAATTTAGCTTCAGTCTTAAAAATAGCAAAATATACAAAAAAAGAGAAAGACCCCAAAACAAAACTAAACAAATAACAAAGCCCCCCAAACTTAGTATTTCAACTAGCTAGACCAGTGGTAATGTTCCTAAGTCCAACGATATTCTCATTTTTGAAGGAGAGAGACTAAATCTCCTAAATAAAAAGAATGCAGAATAAATGTCAAATGAGTTTTAAGGACAACCTGGTTCTCATAATATACGAAGACGAATACAAGAAACTCGAGTAGACTGACACAATTAATGGCCCAGTTCTTCACTCCTCTCTATCTCCATGCCATTTGCAATGTGACTTTGGAGCTCCTCCTAACAAGGGGTGGAACATATTTTTCCATTCCTTGATTCTGAATTCAGCCATGTGATGTTCTCTGGCCAACAGGATGTTAGCACTTTGATGCAAGTATTGTGTGCCATCAAGTCAATTCCTACTCATAGCAGCCCTATCTAACAGAGTTCCCCATAGGGTTTCCCAGGCTGTAATCTTTATGGTAGCAGATCACCTGATCTTTTCTCCAGTGGAGCTGCTGGTGGGTTCGAAGCGCTGACCTTTCGGTTAGCAGCCCAGAGTTTAACCACTGTGCCACCAGGGCTCTTTGTGATGCAAGTAGAGACTTGACAAAGTGCTTTCACTCTCTACTTTTGCTCCTATGCCTTACCCATTACTACGAGGACAGGTTTGGCTAGACTGCTGGAGGTTGAGACACATGGAGCCAATTGATCCCACACATGTGAAGAAGCACAGCCAATATCAGCACAGCTAATATCAGCACAGCTGTCTAGCCACCTTCAGCTGATTCCATCTGCACAAGTAATTAACGCTTAGTGTTGTCTGCCACTAAGGTTTTCTAGTTTTTTTTTTTTTTAAACCCAGCCTTACTGTGGCAGCAGGTAACTGATACAAAACAATGTAATGCCATTGTTTTCTTCTGCTGGCAAACTTGGTCAGAGTACTTCTAACTATAAAAGTGATACGTCACACTATCACTATAAAATCATTTTAAAAGACACCACTTACAACTGAAGAGTTTTAAGGAATCTATGTTATGTGAATCAATAATGACCTGAATAACTTGAGCTCTGCTAATAATTTGCACCATTTATTGAATGCAGGTACTGTTGTGTTAAATTTACATAATCTCGTTAAATCTTCACAACAATCTTATGAGATAGGTGATATTGTGCCCAGTTTACAAATAAAATAACTGACGATCATAGAGGTGAAGTAGCAGAGCCAAGATACAAAACTCCAGTCTTTCTGAACTCCTGTTTATAAACTACTACCTCTGAAAAACTTTAAGAAAATTTGAATTCCTTGAAAGGATTTTTAGCTAAGGACTTAATCCTATGTCCTTTTAATAGCTGAGGTAAAGCTGGTTACTATTGGCTGAGTTTTTATCAAGGCTTTTAAAAAAAAGGAGGGGTGATGTAAGAGAGTCCAATTTTGTCTAGTAAACTGCAAGCGTTAATGAAAGATAAAATAGAAGCTGATGTTAAAGTGTATTTCTAATTTTCCACTCATCTTCAATATTAGAAGGTTATACCAATTATCAATTGTGATCAAGTTGATACTGACTCATGGCAACCTCATGTGTGGTCAAGTAGACCTGTGCTCTATAGGGTTTCAAATCAATGATTTTTTGGAAGTAAACTGCCAGGCCTTTCTTCCAAAATGACTTTGGCTGTACTCGAACCTCCAACCTTTTGGTTAGCAGTTGAGCTCTTTAACCATTGGCACTGAGGTTATAGGCCTCATCAAAAATTCCTGGGCCACATAAAAAAGGTTATAGGCCTCATCAAAAATTCCTGGGCCACATAAAAGAGATCTGCCATTCATTAGGTATTCTCAGAAACAGAAACCTATTAACTATCCTAGAGTCAGCAACCTCTGCCAATAAGCCTGAAGAACACCATACTTATCTACGATAGTATGAGATAAACATTTTCACAACATTTAAGAATTAAAAGCATTCATGAACTCTACTATAAAAGCCTAGCTCTGCCTTAAGATGTAAAGACGGGCTAATTTATTTTTTAAAAACATTTACTAGAAAACGTGCCATAAGTTTGATCTTTTGCTCCAACCTAAATTGATGATCTCTCATAGAAGTTTGGCTTTGAATAAAGAAATTCTATCATATATATAGGTGTGTATTTATGCATATATCAATTTCAAGCTCCACAGAAGTAATTTTTTATTTTTAAACACTTGGGACAGAAAAACATCAAAAAAGTTCAACACATATCTTCTCACGTTAGCAAGGAATATACAATTGTAATTAACCATTAAAAATGTATATAGCTTAAATTTTATATTATGAGCAGTTAGAGAAGATGTGAAACAAGAAAAAAGAAAAAAATAGAAACACTATGAAGGAAAGAGAACAAGTTAGAGGTCTAGGATAGCTCACCCAGGCTCTGAGGAATAAACTGCTCCAAGTATCTTCTCAGTTATTTGGTTTACGGTCACTGAATACATTACCTGCTATAATTAACTTTTTAACTTGAAAAATATCTTTTATGGTTTAAGAAATTACTTGTCTGCTTTAATTTTCAAAGATTTAAATTTTGAAGTAAAGTTTATTTTTGCATAGAGTTATAGATATATCAGACACTGCATTTCTTCAATTCTAAGTGCATTTTTAAAAAAACATTTTAACATCTCTAAAATCAGAATGTGTCTGACAATTAGCAGCATTTTTCTCAGTGGTACACCTTAAAATAATGGCATCTTAGGTTCTATGATATATGAAATGGACAGGTGCTACCTGACCATTTAGAAATTTGCATATTAACAGTGTTGATAGATTAACAAGCAGTTTCTTTATACAGGCTGAAAGTCTTTCTCATATTCAAACCTTGTCAGATTCTTATTCATGTTCTCTGAGAACTTAGAGCTCTCAATTTCACAATGCTTGGATTTACATTCAAAATTCACGTTTATCTCACTCTTCCGAACTTTTGTTCAAATTTAGTTCAGTTTTTCACTCTAGTTGAGATGTAGAAGGACGGTATGTAATAGGAACTTCTAGAATTCCCTCAGATAACTCCCCCCCCCCAAAACTGTTAATGTAGAAGTCTTTTAGAAATAAAAAGGGTGATAAAGTTCATTCCCACTTTCTTTTCTTCCCAAGAAAAATATACATAACGCACATACTTGTAAATATTATATTATGCTTTATTTACTATTAAATATTTACTATTTACTGCTAAATATTTAGTATTTACATACGTGAGAATTAATTTTGTAAATATAAAGTTGCCATTCCAGATATTAAGTATTAATGATGCTCGCTTTAGATATGCAAACCACGTACAAAGAGCCCCTGCTCTGGATGTCAGTTAATCTCAAGCTCCCTTTGTTTCTGTAAACAGCACATACATTCTCCACTATTATACATTCTTCAGAACAGTCAGCAGCTTATTGACAATACTAATTTTAACAACCCATCATCTACTTCTACATTCACTTTCTTTTTTTTTTTTTTTAAATCTTTACTAATAACAATTCGGAGGCCCTGGGTGGTGCAAATGGTTAACACACTTAGATGCTAATTGAAAAGTTGGAGGTTCGAGTCTACCCAGAGACATCTTGGAAAGAAGGACTGGAAATCTACTTCCAAAATATCAGCCACTGAAAACCCTATGGAACACAGTTCTACTCTGACACACATGGGGTTGCCATGAGTTGGAATCAACTTGACAACAACTGGTTTTAGGATCTATTCAGGAGAGATGAGCCTTAAAAATAAATAAATAAATAAAATAATACAAAAATTATTTGACTAACATACTAAGGCAAAGAAAAACCAAGCAGTTAACTTATATGCTACTGGTGCAAACTTTTTTGGAGACAACATTTGCCTGCTCTACCGAAATTGAAAATGTACATTTCCTTTGATTCAGTGGTTTTACTTCTAGGATTTTATACTATAGACAGTTATATCTTCAAAAGGATGCCAAGACAGCTGTGCCATATATTCACTGCAGCACTGTTTGTTATAGCAAAGATCAGTGAATAGCTTAAGCAGTATTAAAAAAAAAGAGGCTGATTAAATGAAGTATGGTAAAGCCATACGTGACATCACTTAATATTTAGTCATTAAAAAGAATGAGGTTGATGTATAAGTGCTAATGCAGAAAGATGTTCACGATAAATTAAGTGAGAAAAAAGCAAGTTGATCTCCTTTCTGTGCAAGCCTTAAAAGCTTAACACCCACCTTGGTAACACAGGACTATACGTAATGTGTAAGTCCATTTATTTTAAAACCAAAAAGAATACACATATATATGAGTAAGTGTGTGTGTGTTCATACATGCACACATGTACTTTGGCAAAGATTAACAAAGAATTCTTCATGATTCCACTGCTGAGTGAGAATGAGAGTGTCTTCTATGTCAAAGCATATTCTGTTCTGGGAGACTTTGCTGTGGATATTTGTTGCATAATAAAAATAAATCAACAACAAAGAAGTCAATATTATGACAGTGTTTACAATAAATAGAAACAAATCTCTTAGGCATTTTCTCCAGATTTTGGCTTTATTCATGGGGGCAGTAAAAACCCATAGGAAGAAACAAAATCCTGTTAGTCTTCTAAGAAAATTATTATTATTAAAGCTTTACTTTACATTGATATATGTTTACATATATGCTTGTAAATATAAGAGAGCTACACATAAATTGATACATATATTCAGAGAGTCCTAAGAGGCTTCATATTTGTAACTAGTAACTCAAATTACATAGCAGAACAGCTTCCTCTGTGTCAGATACAACATGGGAACCTTTATCTTGAGATATATAATATACTATATAATTTTTTATTGTCGTAAAATATACACAACATAAAATTTGCCATTTAAACCATTTTCAAGTGAACAATCCAGTGGCATTAATCACACAATGCTGTGCAACAATTACCACTATTTGATTCCAAAACTTTTACATCACCTTAAAGAGAAATTATTATATATAATTTTGAATCATAAATACCTTTGAGGTTATTATGACACTTTGATCTTGATAAATGATACTTTCTAGTGATTTTAAAACACTTTTTGATTAAATCTATTAGTTGGGCATTTTGAAAATATATATAATATACTCAGACTATAGAAGAACCCAAACTAAAAGACTGGGGTTACTTACCAGTAATTGGAGTTCCCTGACTGAAAAGTTATTCCACAGATCCACATATTTTGGGTTTATTCCTATGTACAACCTCAAGGAACTGGGAGATGTTAAATGAGAATTTCCAGTCAGTTGGCACAACCTTAAGGCATCTGCAAAGTGCTGGTTGATTCCCTTTCTGTGCAAGCCTTAAAAGCTTAACAGCCACGTTTGTAATTCTAAACACACAGGGCAGGCAGGATGTGTTTATGAGTGTGGTTCTTGAAAGGAGATTACCTAATCAAAGAACTCCAGTTACCAGTGGGAATTCTTATTTTTTCATTTTTATTCTAACACAAATATCAAAAGCAGTGTCACTCATTCATAAGTCAAAAACATAAGAAATATTTACTGTAAAAATTATGATTGTTACAATGTCACATACATTATGTTTCTTACCTTGAGCTTGCAGTTTTCGTAGCAATTTGGCATCTGTGTTATCTACAAATTCAGCATTGCCAACATTTGGAGGTCGACCTTTCCGACGTCTCATTCTGGACTCCTCTCTTGCTCGCTGTCTATCTGGATTTGGTGGTCTTCCTCTACGACCTTCCATTGCCCTGATACGGGGAATGACATCCTCTTCTTTCAAAAGACACCACTGCATTCCCTTTTAATTAACATTTTACAAAAATAATATATTACAAACAAAGTAAACACAAGAGAACAGTAGGTGAAATTCAGAGACACTTTGAAATTTATAAAGCTAGTATAAACTTTAGGAATATTATTTATTAAATTTAGATTTATAATTGTTTAGGGCCTTTGGCATATAGATATGCATATATATCTCAGTCACCATTTCTGAACTATAATGACCACGAAGTTGGCAGATATTTGAAAATATTAGTTGTGTGATGACACTCCTATGGATTATTCTCATGGGTTATCAGATTAGACAAAACATTAGGCTAGCAAAATAATGGATGAGTACAAGTTTCTCTTTATAGAAATATTACAGCTAATAAATGAAGAAGGGATGTAAGAGTTAGAATATCAGCATTTCACAATACCTAATGAATTAGTGGAGCCCTGGTGGTGTAGTGGCTGCTAACCAAAAGATCGGCAATTCGAATCCACCAGCTGCTCCTTGGAAACCCTACGGGGCAGGCAGTTCTACTCTTGTTCTATAGGGTCACTGTGAGTCAGAATCAACTCAACAGCAACAGGTTTTTTTTTGGTTTCATCTATTAGAGATGCAAATTGAAACATTTACATATGAAATGATAAGAAGTATAAGATTTGCTTCAAAAAATTATGGTAGGGGACAAGGGAATGTAAAATAATACTGGCCATAATGATAATTAACAAAGCTGGTGATGAGTTTTGTGCTGTTGTTGTTAGCTGCTGTTGAGTCAGCCCTCAACTCGTGTGGATCCCACGGACAACAGGATCAGTCTGTTGTGATTCATAAAGTTTTCATTAGCAAATTTTCAGTCCATTAGTCTGGAAACTTTGCTGAAATCTGTTCATCATCATAGATAGCAACACACAAGCCTCCACTGACAGACGGGTGGTTGCTACACTGGGGGATTAGCTGGCGACTCAAACTCGGGTCTCGCACATGGAAGGTGAGAATTCAACCACAGAACCACGACTGGTGTATATTATTCTGTCTACTTGGGTATATATTTGAGATTTCCCATTATAAGTCTCCTGATCAAGGCACATACACACAAACATAATGCTAGTGTATTATACAAACAGTCCTGCTCAGTGCATAGGCATAATCTGAGTCTGGTTTCCAAATATCCTGCATATATCAATCAGTATAAATACATTATGTTATATTCCCTTACTTATAGTCCAAAGTAATACGTTCAGATATAGGAGAGGCATTCTTTTAAAATAATTGTTTTATTATTATTATTAATTTTTAAACAGTTAAGTCCTTTGGTGTGGAGGGTAGAAAATTTTTTAAATGTGTTTTTCTCGAAAATGAACCTCAAACTAGGAATTTAGTTTGGACCATTAGAGGGAATTATGCAACCAAAAACAATCCAAATTTCTTGAGTTATATTTCATGCCATGGTTCCTAACCTGGGGCAAGGAGTCTATGAATATTTCAGTCAATCAGTAGTAAAAATACAAATACTACTCACGCTATCAAAACAGATAATAGTGTTATCACCATGTTCCAAGCACTGTGCTTTGTTTCAGGCACTCTGAATAAATTATATACCTTAATCTTCACAACAGTTCTACCTCATATAGTAGGTTTTATTGTCCCTACATTACAATAGAGGGAATTCAGACCCAGTGAGGTTACATACTTTGTCTCAGGCACAGAGACAGAAGGAACAGAGCTGTGATTCAAACCCAGGACTGTCTCACTTTAAAACCTGTGCTCCTAACCACTATATATACTTAACTGATGTTACAAAGATGTTCTCATACTTGAAAAGTGACTGATCACAATATTTAGTCATAAAGGCACAACAAAAATTATGTCAAGGAAAGATTGTGACAGTAAAATAACTAGTGCATCCCGTCACATTTCTATATGTTAAAAATAGCATCTACACTAAGTCCTTTCAGTAATTCTCATGTTAAAAATAATTCTGAAATTCTGATAAGAATGAGAATTTTTTGATGAGATTTCAAATTAAGTCAATAGGAACAGTAGCTGTACCACCAAGAAGGAAGCCATCAAAACAGTTTTATGTTCACCAGCATCGGAAGCTTCTGATTAGTTTAGGTTTTCATTTTTCTATTATACTCTTAGGCGCTAAGGCAGCATGCATAACATAAACTGAAAAATATAAAAGTGACATTTCTGATACTTGGAGCAGAAGAGACTAATACAAAGAATTTGTAAATGAATCTGAGTTCAGTTTTTAAAGTATCTTATTAACAACATAATCAATTTTTGGCCAAGATTTAAAGGACTCTCTCAACTTCTTTTATTCAGATATAATTTTTACATAGTTATTTTTATTCTGCTAGGAAAATATACCTGCGTCGAAAAAGGAATAGAACATATTGGTGCCCAAAACATACCAGACAAATAGTGACCTTATCATTTATATTTTGCCCGTGGCATTTAGAAAATAAATACTTTCTAAGAGAATTGTATACATTGGGTTACATATAATGTCTTCTGACTCCTAGATTATAGAAAATAAGAAAGGGATGGTTAAGCAAATCTGAAGCTTTTATCACAGCTTTAACTCACTAAGTAGCCAAAACAATTGTGGTTTTAAAAGGATTATGGAAAATAATGTAGTTATTTTCTCAATAAACTCTTCGTCAGGAAAAATGAATACAATTTATATACTTGACTCACGTATTAGGTGCTGTGTTGTCAATAAAAAATATATACAAAGGAGAGTTAATTTGTTTTTTTCTTAATTGCTAAGACTTAAGATATTAAATGTTTCCTAAAAATAATCTTTCTTGACTAAGATTTTTTAAAATACAGATAGAAATAAAATAGATGATCAACATGATGGGGAAAGTCACAGATTGTTTCCTATACCTATATAGTTCTGCTTTCAAGGGTTACTAATTTATATCTTTAGCCAGTAACAAATTCACTTCTATAAATACTACAGGTGAGAGAATAAAACAGAAAAAGGTTTGTTTTATTTCAGAAGACTAAACAAAATAATTAAGGTAAATAGGTAAATGAGACAACTGAAAGTACACTAAAAGACTACGCATTATAAACATAAAAATTGCTATTACTTAAACATTTGTTGAGGCACTTACTCTGAGCAAGGCATGACATTATCTAAAGGTGAGCAAGAGAGACTCCTCTCCCCTAAAGAACCAACATTTTTAACAAGGACGTTGGCTCAAGCTATTCTAACTCAGGTGATCCAAGGACCACATCTAGAGTGGCAATGAATGCGAATAGGAAATTCTCAATTATCCACATAAGAAATAATGAAGGTCTGGATTAGGGCATGGAAATTAGGGCTGGCAAGAAGATATTTTTGGAAACAGACTGACTGGAATTGAAAGTTGCCTGGGTGTGAAGGAGGGGAGTCTTCTTTGTTAAGGTTTGGGGTTATCTCTAATCAACATGGAAAAGGGAAATGGAAGTGAGGTTTTCTTCCTGAACAAAGCTGAAAGACAGGAAGAATACTTGAGAAAACTGTAAGTAAATTTATTCCCTTAATTTTTTATGAACTAAGAAGTCAACAGCTCTAATGAAATAATTTTAAAATGTTTTCTTTATTCAGAAATTGGAGAGTGATAAAATATATTGTGAAATGTAATTTTAATATGAACTTTCTACTTCAACATTTCTATTTTTCTT